GGCAGGTTAGGTTTGGTGCGGCAAACAACATTAAATTCGGCAGGTTCTGTTGCACTATGTGACATTGGTCTGTCGCGCTATGTGACGTTGGAGCGGCAGCTGATTCATACAGCGTTCTCCCCATGTGTTGAACCTAATGCATAAATTGCTGCAATTTATTTTTCATATAACAGGACTCGTGATTGGCTCAAAATTGAATGGCGTGATCAAGTCATGCACGAAACTCAAAGTTGTCGCTAAAAATAAAGACAACAAAATACCAGTATGCCTTTGATTTATGAGAAATGGGACTGAATACTGAATAAGCGAGTTTCTTTAGCGCAAATTCATTTTTTTGCTGATTAGATTTCCCTTTAACAAGTCGATTTAACCAGGAGAAAACACTGAACCTTAAGTTTGAATTTGCTTCCCTAAATATTGCTATAACAGCACATAACAGCGAAATGTTAGTCACAGCTTTTCTATTTGGACAGAGTTTGTGAATTCAGAGCGCATATTTTCTCGTCAAAAATTGTTACCACCGGCTTCCCGAATTAAGCTCGACGCAAGTATGCCATCTGAACCAGCCGTCGCTCCAAAGGTGCTCTAAAGTCGAACTTAATCAAGTTTGTTTTGGCACATGAGTGGAGCTGGCATTTGGACCAGGCCTAACAAAATTTTAATTGTTCTTGTTTTTTTCTTCTTATTGTTTCTTTGTTTTTGGGTTTTTTTTATCAATTCTGGCTTCCTCCATAAAAAAAAAAGGATTATTGACCAGGTAGGTTCCCACATAATTATGTTCTTTCTATTACCTTATTGCACATGCACAGACTTGTTTCAGGTTTGACTATGGTTTTGGTGATGCAATACCTCCTAATATAAGTATCTTGAAATCAGACTATGCAAATTTCACAAGGACAGTAAGTACTTTTAAATATGTAAATGTACTGAAATAGAGCTGGCCAATTACCCAAAATTTTGTGATAATCATAAAGCCACGTGCAATGCATACCGGTTACTAACCTGACTGTCACGTGAATTGTAATAGTTGTATTACGGTATATTGATTTTATATTTTGAGCCAAAGGCTGTGCGTTTATCAGCTGATACAGACCAAAGGTAGAATCAACCTTCACCTCATAGAAATCGATATACATGTAGCAAATAATCTCTAGTTTAGTTGTTCTAATCATAGAATCCTATTATCTATTAACTAAAATTTCTTTGAACAATGTCTAGTTATTTCTCTACATGTTAAAGGAGCTCGGTCATAGTGTTTGAGTTATTTTGGCCATGTATAAAATTCTTATGGTGCCAGGATGACACCGAAATGTCGTTGCTCAGTTTTTTCGCTAATCTTTATTGTTAAATGTATAAAATTACCTTTAAATTGAAGGAAAGCTAAAAATTAGTATCTAATGTACTAAGATAGAAAAACACCATAGAGATAATAATAAACACATAAAGGAACAAGGATGGTTAAGGATGCAGAAGATTAACATGGATTACAAATGATGAAACTGAAAAATTTAGGCTTAACTTTTCAAGATTCCCAAACCGTCACACGTAGCTCCTTTTTGCTTGGTACATGTAGTTAGTGTATTAAATTTCACACTTCAAGCAAAATCATCATCTTAATTACCAACAAAATGCATTACTTATACACTAATACTGCAAGAGAAAGGACTGTAGAGGCCCTTGTTTATGTGTTCTTTTAATTTTCTTTCTGTCTTTCTTTTCTTCTTTTTTTTCTTAAACACGCAAAATTTCCCGTTTCAGTGATGGTGCAAAGTGGAAGACACGAAGAAGATTGATCACACCAACTTTTCACTTCACAATTTTAAATAGCTTTATACAAGTGTTTGAAGAACAAGCAGCAATTCTGGTTTCACACCTAGAGGTAACATTCGCCTTGATTTCTTTGAATGTTTGTTTGTTTCTCTTTATCTTTGGCAAATAGATGTAAATTATGACAGTGCATGACTGACTGTTCTGTGGCAAAAAAATTAGAACTATTTGGTTGTGTGCAGTAGCTGCCTGACTGTAAATGTGACATTCCATAGACCTACAGATATGACTGTGTATTTATATGACTATGACATTCTGGGTATGTGAAGTCCTATGACATTCTATCTATATGACCTTTTTGTTAACAGAGGAATGTTAAGAAGGGTGTCTTCAACATCATGCCGTACATTACACATTGTGCCTTGGACATTATTTGCAGTAAGTAAAACATAGATGTTACGTGATTGGGTTCAAAGTACATGTTCAGCTGTAATATATCAAACACGGAGACCGTGTTTTACCACGTGTGTTAACATTGCTACGGGCCTCATCCAAACCCCGGGGGGTACTCCCTTATTTGGGCTATACGGGGACGTGCCGTTGGACAGGGTTGGGTTTTTTGGTCTTGCTGCCCTGAACAGGGTATACCATTTTACTCGCCTCTGTCCTAAACAGGGTCTGAACCTGTCCTTAACAGGGTATGGTATTACGAGCCGAGAGACGCTAACCGACCATTACAAGGTCATCATCAATCAACATCAGATCATTTTCTGGACAAGAATGCTACTGTTGTCGGTTAAATTTTTTTTCCACTTATCAGTATTATAACTAGCGCCCATTGACAGAATAGATCGTACCAGTAGGTCTGGTTTCTTTGTGTTTCTTTGTCCTACACAGGGTAGGGTTTTAGAGTATTTTTGTCCTAAACAGGGTCAGGGTTTCAAACCCTCGGCGGTACCCCTATACCCAAACATGGGTCAAGTGCCCCTCCCCACCCCCGGGATCCAAACTTCGTCAATCAGTCATTACCGACCTATAAAATGACTTTGCCTTGTTTGCAACAGTAACGTCCATGGACTCGTCACCAAACGCGCAGGGTGATTCCAGCTCTCCATATGTCACTGCTGTTCAAAGGTAACTGAAAGACATTGTTAGTTTTGCGTGCCCAATTAGCGAGCGCTTACATGTATCGTGCTAGGTGTATTTGCCACGTAAATAGAGTTACTTACCTACCTACTTACTTACTTATTGAAAACCACGCGCTGTATATACCCGTGCTATTTGGCGAAGTTGCATTTAACTCATCTTCACAAGTTCTGGACATCTCCGTGATGGTTTTTGTTTCAAATGGCCAGTCGGAATGCATCTACTACCGCTATACCGACGGCATGTAAAGCTGTCAAACGCGACATTCGCGTTCTAAAAATT